ATCTATCTATCTATCTATCTATCTATCTATCTATCTATCTATCTATCTTTCTTTCTTTCTTTCTTTCTTTCTTTCTTTCTATCTTTCTATCTTTCTATCTCTGGCTACCTAGCTTTCTATGGTAGGAAGAGCCAAATTTTTCCCTTTGGAGGACAGACCTTCAAAACCTGGTCTTCTTGCAACTGCATGATCTCCAAGTTCATCAACAGATTCAATTCCATCTTCCAAGTTCTTCCCCTTGGTCTCAAGACCTTCTCGTATGTAGAGAATTTGTCGAACAGGAGACTTCTCTGTGACCGAACAGAGCACCAACAGGTGAACTTGTTTGAAAACACTATGAAAGTCTATTGAGGTGGCAAATGAGCAGCCCCACAGTGGCTTGAGAGACCCACCAACTGATGAAGAAGTGTTAGCTGCGGACGGTGTCATGATTTGTGCCCTCTTTAGGAAATAACATATTGTCTTTGGGTCAATCAGGAAAATCAGGAGATCCAGATAGTTCAAGTGGGTATAAAGGTTGTTTTTTTGTAAGCTTAACCTCTCTATAAGAATCCGAACTAGTAACAGCCAAGGGAAATTAGCGGGAGATAAGGGTAGAAGGAATCCAATATGGGTTGGATTTAAATCTCTTGTGGGTGCGAAAGGACTCATATTTGATGACATGTTTGACCTCTCCCTCAGGCTCAGTCTAGTCATCTCCTACATTGTCTTCCTACTAGGATTATACATTTGCTTCTTATCCATCCTCTTTTCCTTGGATTGATTCCCAGCTCTTCTTGAAACAATCTATATTAAAAGCACTTTTGTGGAGGTGTTTGAAACCAATGATTTTTTTTCCCCTCCTATTTTTTCCTTTGAAAATGTCAACTAGGCATGTTCCTTTGAAAGCAATTATAAATAAGGTTCAGCTGAAGCTGAAGAAAGTTTTTTTTAAAGCTGTTTCTTTTTTTTAAAAAAAACACTTTCTCATTAATTGTCTCAGCCTTCGTAGACTTTCTCTCATGATTAGGTATCTGGACTTACAATGGAAATATAGACTCTTTCTTTGAGAGACGGGAGTTTGTCACATGGATTGGCTTTATAGGCTTGTAATCTGGTCAGATTATTTATAAAGTTGTCTTAAATATTTATGATACATTGAGGAGTAATAAAATATCAGAGGTGAGAAATGGTACAATGAGGCATCCGAAAATGCAGCTAATAATAGTCAGTCTGCAGAGGGGGGAAAAGAGACTCTAAGCTGCTTATTTCAATATCCTCATAGATCACAGAATAATTTTATCGTTTGACATATTCTGGTGATCAAACCAGGCTGATAGGAAAGCAGCTTTTAAAAACAAGGTGCCTAATCACTGAAAAATGTTTATGTGTACAGCTAGTCCTCGACATACGACCACAATTGATCCCGAAATGTCTGCTGTTGAGACGTTGGTAAAGTGAGTTATATGCGTCAATGGGATATTGGATGATCCGGATCACCCGCTTGACTCAGTTTAAATTGTGGGGTGGCTTCTATGATTTAGACACGTGCGGGGGATCAATCACCTTATTTTCTAAAACTGGTCAGCAATAATTTTATTTAGCCATATGTTTATCCAAGAAGACAGGGTTGTCGGGAACAATAAAGTGCAGGCTGAATTCTCAATCCTGCACAAATTGTCTTGAGTAAGCTTCGTGAATGGCAGTGCGGTCAGAATCCTGGAAAAACAAGTACTTCCATCTTTTTGTATATTTTAAAATTTTCCTATATAGCACATCAGGTTAAGAAATCAGCTGTATCCTTTCCCGGTAATTCACAAAGATGGGGATATTTTAAGATGATTCCCAAAGGTGTTTAGAAGTTATTTACATGTAGTTTTTGACTTACAACTGCAGTTTGGACTGGTATAATTATTGCTAAGACATAACAGTAGCACTTCAACTTATATACCGCTTCACGGTGCTTTACAGCCCTCTCTAAGCAATTTACAGAGTCAGCATATTTGCCCCAACAATCTGGCTCCTCATTTTACCCATCTCGGCAGGGTGGAAGACTGAGTCAAGCTTGAGCAGATCAGGATCGAACTCCTGGCAGTGGGCAGTGAGTTAGCCTACAATACTGCTTTCTAACCACTGTGCCAGTTTTAAGAAGAGCTTGGACGACCATTTATCTGAAATGGTATAGGGTTTCCTACTTCAGCAGGACGTTGGACTAGAATCGCTAGATGACCTCCAAGGTCCCTTCCAACTCTCTTATTCTGTTCAGGCACTAAATGAATGGATGTAAGTCAACGACTCCCTGTATATAACTTTAGTAATCAATTTGGAACATGCTTTATTTACTTTTTAATGTTCAGAATAAAGTTTAGTCAATAGCAAATTAACCGATTGTAAGGGGAAATACTATTGAATAAAGTGTATTTTTATCCAGGTATATAAAAGATAATTAATCAACCTGAAGAAATTATTTCAGGTTTATTGGAGTGAAATTGTCTTACCTTGTTATCTGTTTGTTGTAAACACAGGGGGGTTTCTATTCCATATTATTAATTATGGAAATTAATTAATTTTGAGCACAGGCTGATCTTTGAATTTCCTACAGTAGCAGTAAGTCCTGAGATTTTATATATTTGAAAAGCAAAATTTAAGAAAAAAAAAACCTTATGTGATTTTTATCTGATTTTATTGTATTATAGTTGTTTATGTAAATATATATCTATATAGTTTAAGTTAAAAAAAAAACCCAAAACTCTCATATTTATTCTGTCCTGCTTTCATCACTTCGGTTTCCTGAATTACACATTCTTGGTTTAATGCAAGTTGGGAAATTCTCTCTTTTCTTATTAGGAAATCTAAATTAGGGTTTAAACAGGTGCTATAATATAGAACACACCTTCATAGATACGACTGCTGCATTTTTCCCCCTGGAAATATTCTTTGCCATAAACAACTCCTTAGTAGGAAAATAACATTTGTTGGAAGGAGCTTTTATAAGGAAGACCTTTCTATTTGATCCAGGCTGTGGATATCTGATGGCTAGTCTAGGGAAGAGAAGGACCAGGGTAGACATGAGAGCAGTCTTCCAATATTTGAGGGGCTGCCACAGAGAGGAGGAGGGGGTCAAACTATTTTCCAAGGCACCCTAAGGCCAGACAAAGAATAATGGATGGAAACTGAACAAGGAGAGATTCAACCTGGAAATAAGGAGATATTTTCTGACAGTGAGAACAATCAATCCATGGAACAGAAGTTGCCTTTGGAAATTGTGGGAGCTTCATCACTGGAAGCTTTCAACAATAGACTGGACTGCCATTTGTCAGAAATGGTGTAGGGTCTCCTGCTTGGGTGGAGGTTTGGACTAGATGACCTATAAGATCCCTTCCAATTCAAATTAATCTGTTAATGTGGATTATCCAGTCTGTTACACAGATAGCCCTTGACTTAGAACTACAGTTGAGGCCCAAAGGTGCTTCTTTTTCCAAGAGGCAACTGGACTTTCTGGTTTTTCTTTGAAGACATTTCGCTTCTCATCCAAGAAGCTTCTTCAAGTCTAGCCGAAGAAGCTTCTTGGATGAGAAGCAAAACGCCTTCAAAGAAAAACCAGAAAGTCCCGTTGCCTCTTGAAAAAGCACCTTTGAGACAACTCTGACCTGGATGACAGAGAATCTCCATAGACGATTGAGACCAGAACTTGCATTGATAAGCAAAGCAGTTGTGAAGAATATTTCCCCATTGATCTGAAGTCAGCTAAGGGGAATCCCAAATGAAGATCATGTGATCCTGGGACATTTCAACCGTCATAAATACATGGTAATTACCAAGTGCTTGAATTTTGATCAGGTGACCATTGGGATGCGGCACCAATCATTATTGCAAGAACTGGTCATAATTCAGCTGTTTCAGTGCCATTTTAATTTAGAAAAGTCACTAAAGGAGTGGCTGTGAGTTGAGGATCATCTGTATATGATAGGCAAAATGAAAATAGCAAGAGCTCTTAACACTTATATGCCACTTCACAATGCTTTACAGACCTCTCTAAGCAGTTTACAGAGTCAGTAT